GATACTGCTTTAGTAGGTTTATTTTGCTACCTAAAAATCCATATTTTAAATAAGCACCCTAGGGACAACAGACATTGAAATACCACTAGATTTGTATTTCACACAAGTTATAGTATTTTCATTTACTAAAACCAATGGGATAGTCTTATCAGGATATTTATTTAAGCTGAATATACACTCTCCAACCATGCCAGAAGACAGAATAGTTACTATACCTGGTAGTCCAGCATGTGGAAGCTTGGAAAAAACTGACAAATTCGGGATTCAAAAAAATAAGGAAAAATCCAGAAAATGGGTAGTTCTTTGTGATTGTTATCTAATGGATCACAAAAAAAGGAGAAAGAAAATAAGAAACTGATATTAAAGAAAAAAATATAACAGCTATAACTGGAAAGCTTCTGGTATCAGAAGAAACTACAACGTTCAATACATTTAAATCACACTAAAGGAAGGAATGTCTACCAGAGCACCATGAACAGTCAGACCTCTCACAAAGACAATGGAAACGTTCTCCTATATCTAAACACAGCTACACGTATGAAGTAATCCTAACATACATATCACAATAGTATATGTAAAGGTAGAGATGTTACCAAAAAAGTGGAATATAAAATTAATTTTTATGAGAGGCAGGAATACAGCTGTTATATATAGGCTGAACACAATGCTAGGTACTTTTGATATATTGTCTATGTATAATAACCTCTAGAGTCAGATATTAATAATCCCATTTTATAGAAGAAAATGAAGCCACACGATTTAAGTCATTGGTTCAAGTCCACGGAGCTGATAAGTGGAAGAATTGGAATTCAAGCCCACAAAGCTCTTTATTGCTTCCCCAATAATATGGACTTTATACACTCCGATAAGTGACTTAGGAACTGAAAATAAGTGGAATACTTAACACTATGAGTCATATTTTAGATTTCGTTTGCATTCTGTCCCCCAAAACACACTATTTATGTAGCACAATTGACTGAGAAACTTGATCACAAACTCCTAACGCTCTTACAATTTATCAACTTGTAAGCTGGAAACTAAAAAATTATTGTACAAACTAATTAGATCATTGGATGAAATACTTGGAAGTCCTAAGCCACCTGAAACTGAATAATAACCCTCATCCATTCCTCCACCGCTAGGACCAGGTATCTGTGTCACTGATAACCACTCTCTGGCCCCTGGGTGTCTGACTTTCCCCCCAAATCCAGGCATGACCTAGCACTCTGGGCCAGAGGTCGGTGCTATCTTCGAGTCCTGGGCGAGACTTTAGGAGCAGGGAATGGAAGGTGCATGAGGGCAGAGCTATGTGGCTGACATGGTCACTACTCTATTTCTACCACCTGGCTCATGGCCCTTCAGTAAATACAGGGGTGGGTAAAAGTAGTTGTGAGTACACAAAACACAGTTTATTTTTGTAGTATTACTTATTTATTTTAGCATTATTTTCCAAATAAACAACTATAAACCTACTTTTGCCCATACCTGTATTTACTGAAGAAAAAAAAAAAAAAAGACAATTTACTGCTATTCTTCATGTCCCTTTATGCCCATAAGAACAAAATTATCTACAAGCCATTTTAAAAACACATGATCAGGACAATACAAAGTGTATCATGATGATAAAATATGCCACATTAACAAATAAGCCTGCTTTTAAAAAAGACCAGAAACAAAGGCATATATATTTTAGTGCTCTGATTCACCAAGATCTGATTTGACAGAAAGTAAATGCTCAGATACATGTTTATTTTGAAGTAAGTAATAAATTACACACCTTGATTTTGACCTTTCTTCCACATAGCAATTAGCTTCTTGAATGTAACAGCCAGAGGTTCAACCAAGCCACCAAAAGGAGGGTCTGTCACCATAATGACTCCTTCACCTTTATCTTCCTGTAAAAATGTTCTGCATACTTCAAGGGCAGCCTGGAAAAATACACATTCATTTCTAAATTAGGGAGGCACTTCGTCCTATTTGGAGGAGAATGCACTGGGCTCGGTCTCACTCTTGGTACTGAAATTTCACCCACCTGCCACCCCAGAGTCCCTCACTGACATCCTCAAGCCTCCCTCATTCAGCCCCTGTGTGATTTTATCTTTGGGTTTCTTGATAAGGAAGTTTTTAAAATTGCAAATTCAAATACCATCACTATCAGAGGACTACACATTTCAAATGGTTAAATTAAAAACCTAAATTTAGTAACCTAAAAGAGAGAAACTCATTACCCATGAAAAACTATCTAAAACTCTAAATTCAATTCAATAAACAGAAGCAGGGACTGTGCCAAACACTGGGAACACAAAGACAAGGCACATTTCTTTCCTATCTGGTCTGTCCACCACCATGTGTTCAGTTTAATAAGAGCTACAATTACCAGTTAAACACACAGGGTTTTGAGAACATGCACGGTAAGTAAATAAACGAAGGGTCACAAATAACAACTCGTATCCAGGCCATGAGACCATGCTAGTAACACAGTTTCCCAACAAACTGATTCAAGTGTTTTTAGTAATTGCAAACTTAACATAACTACCGCCTAAAATATGTATCTTTTGTTGTTGTTGTTGTTGTTGTTTTGGGAGATGTTAATGAGAGATACATCTATAATAATAACTCCAGTCAACTGACTTTATAATAGTTTTCAAGTACGTACTCATCTATAAAAGCAAATCAACACCTAACAATATCCTGAGTGGCATATGATTTTAAAGCTTAGTGGTATGTTAAACTTTAATAAACCTGTATGTATTTAAAATATATACTGTCCTACTACTAAATCCCAACTGATGAGAGGAAAAAGCACCGTATCCTAATCCCTTTCCCTAGGAGAGTCACTATTAACCTCCTACTGGCAGTCCTACAGCAAAGGACAGTGTGTCAAGAAGGTTAATCATTTTTCAAGCACTGCCTGGTACTTTCTTAACCTGCCGACATGAAGAGGACCTAAAGTACAGATGATGTTCCTGGAAAATCTTCAAATTCCTTAGTTAAAAGCAGAAAAAAAGAAAATAAACAAGTAAACTAGGCCTAAACTCTTAACCAAATTTTAAAAACATTAAGCATAAACTTCCAGGTAAGAATCTAGGCTATAATGTCCTGTCAAGAGTTACTGAAGGTCCTAATGTTGACACCTATGGAAACAGATGCTGGCTTATACCACCAATGTTGACAGTATCCTCTTTTCTTCATCTCAATTATCACTAAAAACTGGCACTTCATATTTTTATTGCCCTAGCTCAGCCGTGGGCAAACTACGGCCCTCGGGCCGGATCCGGCCCCTTTGAAATGAATAAAACTAAAAAAAAAAAAAAAGACCGTACCCTTTTATGTAATGATGTTTACTTTGAATTTATATTAGTTCACACAAACACTCCATCCATGCTTTTGTTCCGGCCCTCCGGTCCAGTTTAAGAACCCATTGTGGCCCTCGAGTCAAAAAGTTTGCCCACCCCTGCCCTAGCTGGTCTGGCTCAGTGGATAGAGCGTCGGCCTGGACACTGAAGGGTCCTGGGTTCGATTCCGGTCAAGGGCACATGCCCCGGTTGTGGGATCAATCCCCAGTAAGGAACATGCAGGAGGCAGCCAATCAATGATTGTCTCTCATCATTGATGTTTCTATCTCTCTCTCTCTCTTCTTCTCTAAAATCAATAAAAATATATCTAAAAAATAAATATTTCAAAAAAATGTATATTTTTATTGATTTCAGAGAGGAGGGGAGAGGGAGAGAGAGATAAATAGCTGAAAAATAGATATCCCAATGCCCAACTGATTCTGAAAGAAGGCGTGTGTCACTGGCTATCCTTACTAAATCAGGAGACTCATTTTCAATCCCAACCAACAATTCAGAATCTGTTTTCATTTTCTAAATGCTTGTTTTTTTAGTCTTGCTTGGTTTTCATTCTATCATTAGCTATTATCTTAAAGCACAATAAATACTTTAGAATGGTTCACTATCTTTAAAAAGTCACACACACACACACACACACACACACACACACACACACACACAGATATGCTTCAGGAGATCTTGATAATTCCAATCAAAACCTCCTGGGAGGTGTGACTACTGGTTAGTTGTGATTTTTATTTTGTAATAGGACTGACAAAGAGCTCAAACTAGGAGTGGAAGTATCAGCTCTGCTGTGTTGTTTATTCACAGTGACGTTATTAACATCATATAAAGAAGCTTCCTTTAAGCCACTATCTTTTTATTAAGACTATTTTTTTAGAGTAGTTTTAGGTTCACAGCAAAATTGAGAAGAAGATACAGAGATATCCCACATGGCCCTGGTCCTACACGTACACAGCCTCCCCATTAACATTGCCCACCAGAGGGGTACATTTATTAGAATTAATGAACCTATGTTGACACATCTTTATTAGACACTAGTTTTTAAGGAGTAATCTAATAAAATCATAAATCCCCTTAACTGGAACATGAAATTTACCAGGGAGACAGATATCAAACAACTAACCACACAACTATCTATAATAATAAAATAGTAATATGCTAATTAGACCAGGCATCCTTCTGGACATCCTTCCTTCCGGACAAAGCTACAGTGGGCGGGGGCCCAGGCAAAGGCAGCAGAGGCCCCCGGCCCAGGCGGCAGCGGGGTCAAGGCACTTTCACGAATTTCATGCATTGGGCCTCTGGTTTAATTATAGTATCCTAACTCCACAAAGGAGAACTTGACCTTGTCTGGGGCTCAGGGGAGGCTGGAGAAAATGACTTGGAACAGAGCTCTGAAGAATGAGGTAAAGTTAACGAGGCAAATAGAGAGGAGAAGGCAGAGGGCATGGCAGGGCAAAAGGCCCTGTGGTGGGAAGGCCAGTTCCAGATGAGAGTTCGAGATGAACACAAAGAGCAAAGCAGGAGCAGGGAGAGGAGGGGCTGAAGAGTGGCAGGGCTCAGACCACACAAAACCATGTGGGCCTTGGTAAGAAAGTGGATCTTTACCCAAAAAGTAGTGAAAAGTCATGAAAGAGAAATAATGTGATCACTTCTAGATGCTCAATATCTTCTCAGTTAATGAATAAAATATCTCTATGAGTAAATGGTGGAACAGCCACAATTTGATCTTAAGGGACTTTAGAAAAATAACAAAGGAGATACTCTTGAATTTTTTCTTCACAAGAGAAGAAAGAGATAATGTTAACAATTCTTACCTCTCCATCAAAGAAGTGATGGTTAAACATGTTATAATGGCAAAAGCTATCTTCCATATAAAACTGCGAATACCTGTAAAATAATTTGCTTATTACTGGAGTTACTTGTCCAGACATAGTTAAACAAAAAATAAATATAAACTACATTTTAAAACTGTGAAATCACACCATTAATAAAGTCAATTTCATCATGCTTCGTCTTCTGAAATAAGGAATGCTTTCCCAGCCCTAATGGGTTTGGCTCAGTGGATAGAGCATTGGCCTTCGGACCGAAGGGTCCCAGGTTCAATTCTGGTCAAGGGCACATACCCTGGTTGCAGGATCCTCCCTGGCCCAGCCCCAGTCCTGGCTCATGCAGGAGGCAACCAATCTATGTGTTTCTCTCACAATGATATTTCTGTCTTTCCCCCTCCCCCTCTCTCCAAAAATCAATGAGAAAATATTCTCAGGTGAGGACTAAAAAATAAAAAAACAAAATTTTTTAAAAAAAATTAGTGGGTTTTTTGTTGTTTTTTTTTAAATATATATATATATATATATATATCTTTCTATTTCAGAGAGGAACGGAGAGGGAGAGAGAGAGAAACATCAATGATGAGAGAGCATTATATATTGGCTGCCTTCTGCATGGGGATTGAGACAGCAATCCGGCATGTGTCCTTGAACGGAATCAAACCCAGTACCCTTCAGTCCGCAGGCCGACTCTCTATCCACTGAGCCAAACCAGCTAGGGCAAAATTTGTGTTTAAGAAAAAAATAAAAAGCTTTCCCCAAATCTTAGTTGGTAACAGTGGATGATGAATAAAAATATGTTCCCAAGTTTAATGTATCAGTGATAAAACTATGGAACACTTATAGTTAATAACTTTAAGGAAAATACTGAATCAACCTTTCTGCTCAACAGCTGTTAATTACTGTATTTTCTTCTGTGATTCACACAAAAAATATTTAATGCAAAGTTTTTCTTGTCTATTGCAGATTAGCTTTATAAAATACTAGAGGCCCAGTGCACAAAATTCAGGGGCGGGTCCCTCAGCCTGACCTGTGCCCTCTTGCAGTCCAGGGGCCCTGGGGGATGTCCAACTGCTGAGGGGGCGGGAGGCTCCGGCCACTGCTGCTGCGCTCGCCAGCCATAAGCCTGGCTCAGGGCTTCTGGCTGAGCTGCATTCCCTTTGTGGGAGTGCACTGACCACCAGGGGGCAGCTCCTGCATTGAGCGCCTGCCCCCTAGTGGTCAGTGCACATCATAGTGACCGGTTGTTCGGCTGTTCAGTAGATTTGCATATTAGCCTTTTATTATATAGGATGCTTTTCAATATACAGTGGGGCCTTGACTTACGAGTGTCCTGACTAACGAGTTTTTTTAGATACGAGCCGTCTCTCGGCCGATTTTTTGCTTTGAGTTGCGAGCTAAAATTCGGATTACGAGCCAGCTTCAGATACCCCACCGCTAGTTGGCACAGCGAACGTCACAGTGAACGCCACAACATCAGCCCAGCATCACGTGTCTCACTCGTTCACTTTTGATTTGACATACGAGTCATTTGAGTTACGAGCTCCGTCACGGAACGAATTAAACTCGTAAGTCAAGGCCCCACTGTATTACAAAAAGAAGTATGTGCATTTCATATTTACTGAATTAGTGCTGGGAAAGAGGGATATTTATTTATTGGTTGAATCACTTTATTCTTCTAACACTACTTTATTTAGAATTTATTTTTTTAATTAAAAAATTTTTTGCAATTACAGTTGACATACAATATTATATTAGTTTCAGGTGTAGTAACACACTACTTTAAAATGCCTATCAGCAATGAATGACAGTACCAACTTTGGGTATTAACTTTATAAATTTTTACTAACTTAATAAGCAAAATCCATACTAACATAATGGTTTAAATTTGCATTTATTTGGTTTCTTATAAGACTGAGATTTCCTCATTCCTTAAGTGTATTTGTACTGTCTGTCTCTGTTTTCTCCATTTATGTTTATGGTTCTTAATGTCTTTCATGCTGATTTCTGAGTTTTTCATATACTATAGAAACCTCATTTTTATCTCAATAGGATCTTGAACTTTGACAATTTTGTTATAAACAATTCACATATGAATCACATTATCCTTCTATGGAATGCACAGTGGAAAGACTGAAAAACATCAGGGACACATCCTTACTTCTATGACTTCTTTAGCCAGATCACGACAGCGGAACAACTTTGTCTACTCTATTCTGTTACCCATTACTGTCTACAACTGATTCACCATCCATGGTATTATAATGGGTAACCCTGCTTATCCTCTTCTTCGTATGCTGTGGTTAAAAGCACAGACTCTTTGGTCAGATGACCTGGATTCAAACCCTATTAGCAGTGTAACCTTAGTAAGTATTTCACCTATCAGAGCCCCAGTTTCTTCGTCTACAAATGAGAAACATAGTAGTTTCCACATCATAGGCCTTGGTAAGAATAAATGAGATAATGTATGTAAAGTGCTTAACACAGTGCCAGCTAAATAGCATATACTGAAATGTTAGGTCTCATTATTTTAATAAACACCAGCTAATATGCTTTAATGTCCCTAATGTTAGGGAATTATGTTTATGTCCAACCAAAATCTCCCTTCCTGTAATCTAATCCATTTCTTCTTGTTCTATGGAGATGGAGAACAACTGTTCACCATTCTCATTATGTTATCCCTTAATATTATTTACGATACTGTTAGTATATCTGAATCGAAGAAATAAACAAAAGGTTAGGGTAACTGAAAAATATTTAAATTATATACTGTAACTTAATGAACATTCCAAACACTGTGGGGCAATGTCAATTACCACTAATAAAGAAATGACTTCCTATTTAACTAAATTCCAAATAGCTAACAATATATATTATCTGTTATTTAATTAATATATATCTGTCAATACTAGTAGAGCTGTGAGTCAACTATCTTTTGAGAGTTTTCTTCTCTCTTGCATTGCTTTGTGTAAGCAAAAAAAATACAATCCGTTTAAATATATATTTCTACTGACTCTCCATTTTTTTTATTGCTTCACAATGACACAATAGTCTTTTTTTTTTTCATTAAAAGAGAAAAACTTATTTACATAAAATTCAACACAGCACAGTTGTCCAAAACTTCCTGGGCAGCAGTAAGCAGGGCCAGAGAGAGAAAAAAGCCTAGATTTCAGCTCTAAGTTTCATCGAATACAAACAAGGGAGCATAATTATTCATATTTTAAATTATGAAAAATCACTCAACATTACCCTCTTAAAATGAAATTGGCCACAAAGAATTATTCTCTCCACTGAATAAAGCAAACAAAACCAATCAGAAAGCATGCACTTGAAAACTGCTCAAAAGGACATTCATTTAATTTGGCCATTCATTCTCTTTAAATGAGTCAGTTACCAAGTGTGAAACATACTCTACACACAGGAAATGTAATCAAGAGCTGAATAAAATCAGTTCATGAAATGAACCCAAGAAATCCATTTTTTTATATAACTTTATTTGGATGATAGTTTGCCAAATAGAGTTTCACATCTTTCATGCTAAAATTAGAGCATATAGAAATCCATCTTAGCAAATGTTAACTTCATATCTTGGACCCCTGAAAAGGATATTTACAGCACATCTACATAGAATGCTGGAGTTGAGGCAGCTCTCTGCAGCCTTGGACAGACCTTCTGTAGGGCAACAACAAACCAAAGTCAAAGTGCCAACTGCCACTCCATACCCTCAGGGAGTTTTTCCTGACTTAACTCTGAGAAACCCGAACCAACCCACACACTCCATACTGTAAATACAGGCAACAGACTGAATTCGTTCTGGCTACTCCTGTGTTTCAATAGACCAGCTCTCTCTTAACACCCAATGTTGACCTTTTGTAGAATTGACTCAGTAACACAGTACGGGATCAAAGAAACTAAGCTAGGATAACCTTAGCACAACAGAGGTTTATAGACATGAAAAAAAGTATTAGTGTATTCCATTAGTTATAAAATAACTTTATCCACATCCCCTTTGCCTACTCTAACCAAGAGATTTCAACTTCACGCTCAAGAAAGGTAAAACCATAAGATATGGCATTTAAGGCAAAAGAGTTAAGGGGCCATTTAAATCTTTCAAATTAAAAGTAAATCCAAGTAAGGTGAAAGAGTTCTGGAGAATGGTTGCACAATGATGTAAATGTACTTCACTTACTTAACACTACTGAACTGTATATTTAAAATGGTTAATATAACCAATTTTATGCTATGTGTATTCTGTCACAATATTTTATCTTTTTTTTTCTTAATACTCAGCCAAGGATATTTTTCCATTGATTTTTAGAGAGAGTGGAAGAGAGAGGGAGAAACAGAGAGAAACATTTATGTGAGAGAAACACACAGATTGGTTGCTTCCTGCATGCTCCTGGACCAGGGCCCAGGCTGGGGAGGAGCCTGCAACCTAGGTACATGCCCTTGACCAGAATCGAACCCAGGACCCTTTGGTCCGCAGCCCAACACTCTATCCACTGGCCAAACTGGCTAGGGCCACAGTTTGTTTGTTTTTAAAGTAAATCAGGGCAATAGCAATGAATAATACAAAATGAAATTAAGAAAACAATTTTCAATAGCAACAAAAAGAACAAAATATTTAGGAGTAACTTTAACAGAGGAACTGCAAGACTTATATGCTGAAAACTAAAAAATATCATTTAAAGAAATTAAAGAAGACCTAAATAAATGGAAAGACTCTTGTGTTTATGAAATAGAAGACAATTAAGAAGGTAATACTCCCCAAATTGATCTACAAATTTAATGCAATCTCTATAAAAAAAAATCACAGCTGATTTTTTTGTAGAAATTTACAAGCTGATCCTAAAATTCATATAAAATGCAAGGAACCCAAAATAGCAAAAAACAATCTTGCAACAGAATAAAGTTGGAAGACTCACACTTCCTAATTTCAAAACTTACTACAAAACAACAATAATCAAGATTGTGTAGGACGCCGAAACCGGTTTGGCTCAGTGGATAGAGCGTCGGCCTGCGGACTAAGGGGTCCCGGGTTCAATTCCGGTCAAGGGCATGTGCCTGGGTTGTGCGCACATTCCCGGTGGGAGATGTGCAGGAGGCAGCTGATCGATGTTTCTCTCTCATCGATGTTTCTAACTCTCTGTCTCTCTCCCTTCCTCTCTGTGAAAAATCGGTAAAATATATTAAAAAAAAAAAAAAAAAGATTGTGTAGGACTAGCATAAGGACAGACACAGATTAATGGACCAGAATTTAGAGTCCAAAAATAAACCCATGTATTTATGGTCATTTGGTTTTCAATAAGGTACCAAGATAATTCAAGGGGAGAAGAATAATCATTTCAAAAAATGGTGCCAAGGCAACTATGCAAAAAGAATGAAGTTGGATCCCTACCTCACTCCATATAGAAGATTTAACTCAAAATAAATCTAAATATAAGAACTAAAATAAAAAGCTCTAAGAAGAAAACAGGTGTAAATATTCATGACCTTGTATTAGTCAATAGTGTCTTAGATGTGATATCTAAAACACAAGCAATCAAAGAAAAAAGATAATAACTGGACTTCATCAAAAGTAAAAAGACAGGGTGGAGGGTAGGCAATGGGAGGATAAGGACACATATGTAATACTTTAATCAATAAAATAAAAAGTAAAAAGACAAACCACAGAATAGGAAAAATTATTTGCAAATCATATATCTGATAAGAGTCTAGTATCCAGAATATATTAAGAACTTTTTCAATTCAACAATAAAAAGACAACCAATTAAAAATGAGCAAAGGGTCCTAGCCGGTTTGGCTCAGTGGATAGAGCCTCGGCCTGCGAACTGAAAGGTCCCAGGTTCGATTCCAGTCAAGGGCACATGCCTGGGTTTTGGGCTCAAGCTCCAGTGGGGGACTTGCAGGAGGCAGCCGATCCATGATTCTCACTCATCATGGATGTTTCTATCTCTCTCTCCCTCTTCCTTCCTCTCTGAAATCAATAAAAATATATTTTTTTAAAAAATAGGCAAAGGATTAAATAGTCATTTCTCCAAATAGATAAACAACTAGTCCATAAGCACATGAAAAGATGCTCAACATCACTAACCATCAACAAAATGTAGTTACCTGTGTTTTGGCAGTTTGGCAGTTCCTCAATAAGTTAAATACAGAGCTATTATATGACCTAGCAATTCTACTCCTAGGTAAATATGGCCTCAACTGTGTCCCCCCAAATACCTATGTTAAAGCCCTAACCCCCAGTACTTCAATTTGCAACTATATTTGGAGGCAGGCCCTTTAAAGAAATGATTAAGTTAAAATGAGGTCCTTAGGGTGGGCCCCAATGAATATGACTGGTGTCCTTACTAGAAGAAGAAATACACACACACAGAGGAAAGATGATTGTGAGGACAGTGAGAAGGCGGCCACCTGCAAGATAAGAAGAGAGGCCTCAGAAGAAACCAAACCCACTGACACTTGATCTTGGACTTCCAATCTCTAAAACTATGAGAAAATAAGTTTCTGTTGTTTAAACCACCCAATCTACTGTATTCTGTAATGGCAGCCCTAGTAAATTAATACAATAACCAAGAAATTTGAAGATATATTCATATAAGAAAATGTCCACAAGTGTTCATAGCAGCATTATTCATAATGACTGAAAAGTGAAAGCAACCCAAATGTCCATCAGCTGATGAATGGATAAACAAAATTTGGTATGTCTATATAATACAGTATTATTCAGCCATAAAGAGGAATGAAGTACTGATCATGCTACAACATGGATGAACCTTGAAAACATTATGCTAAGTGAAAGAAGCCAGACACTAGAGGTCACATATTATATGATTCCATGTATATGAAATCTCAGGAAGAGACAGAAAGTAGACTAGTGATGGCCAAGGGTTAGGGAACGGGGAAATGAAGAGAGACTGCTTATAGGAAAGTGTTTGTTTCAAAGGTGATGGAAATATTCTGGAATTAAACAATGGTGATGATTGTACAACCTTGTGAATAATACTAAAAATGTATGTGAAATATATCTCAATTTTTAAAAATATGCCTAAAATACAGCAAGTGGGGGAAAAAAGACTTTAAGCTATGATTCTATGTTTTAAAAATTTTAAATGGAGCCCAGCCAGTGTGGCTCAGTGATTGAGCATCAACCCATGAACCAAGAGGTCCCCAGTAGATTCCTAGTCAGGGCACACGCCTGGGTTGCGGGCACGATCCCCAGTCTCAAATCCATTTGCTCCAACCTATCAGCAACCATTTGACTCTGAAGCTCTCTGTTTGCTAATCCTTGGCCTTGGGGTCTGGCTATTCCCCAGGTAGCATGCCCTTCATTTAGGCTACGTCCAGTGAAAGACGACAACATGCACATCATCTGGTAAAAATATTAAATAAATGCCTTATCACACTTAAAACAGCATGATGAAACAAAGTCCTGGAGGAAGCTCAGAATTATCTTTGAAAACAAGTATATGAGAAGAAATTTCACTCAGTAGGAATTTATCACTAAATTATAAGCCAAAGACAATGAGGCACATTCATGGACAGAATTTAGGAAGCAGACTAGCAAAAAGAGAAATTCCTTTACCAGAAGGAAGGGGGGGCGGGGGGAGGCAGAAGAGGGTAAAGTGGGGAAAAGAAAAAAAAAAGGAGAAATTCACAGCCTCTGTTTGAAATATGGAAGATTTCATATGGAGTTTATATGACTGAAAAAGTGCCTTATCACCAATTACTACTTCTAAATGTTAACTAGAATTAGAACAGGTAATAAACAATTAAAAAGAGGAAAAACAATTAAAAGCAGGAGACAATGAATGAGAATAAATATTATACTTTGTAAACCTACCGAAAATCAATATCCAATAAAAGGCTTTTAATGTTAGGCTTCTTGTCACCTGATGCTTTCAACCTGATCAGCTCATGCAACCTAAAACAATTAGTGAAAGCAAATTTAATATGAAGTTATAAAGGCCATAGATAATAAACAAATAAACAAAAAAATCAATGTTCTCCTGATATTTCTGATAGTTCACTGAAGAGAATGTGGCAGATGTAATCAAAGTTTCAGTTTTACAAATATATTTTAAAAGGCACAACTTCTCTGAAACATAAAAGTCTAAAATTATAAACAGAATTTAAGAACCAAATCAGAAAGAATCTCCTATCATATATCAGAAATCTATAAAGATTTCTCCCAAGTGGATTACAGATTACAAACTCCTTTAGAGGGACCATGTTATATACTTCTTTGTATATTCAAAACTTTATGCTCTATCCTGGAACTTGAGAATTCTTTTCTTAGTTTAAATAATGGTGCCAGGAAGTTTTTTAAAAACCACATAACCTACCTTGGTGTTCCAACACACAGCACTCTTCTGAACCCAAGGGTAGAAAGTAGGTCTATCAAGAACTGACAGCTCCTATCAGCAAACAAATACTGCGCATTTGTCTTCTTGTTTTCCAACGGAGAAAGGAGCTGACTGGGCCTTTTTAACTGGGTGACAGAAATATCCCCCATGACCTGGTGCTCACGATGCTTCTCCCAGTCATCTGGCAGCAGCAACTGCTGACATCTTTGACAAAACTTTCTCTGAGACAACGGCAACTCAATGAACTTCAAATACCTTCAAGACACAACACAACACAAGGAATGTATTGTAAGTTAGTTGTTTTAAAGACAATTTATTTTTGCTATTTTTAGTATGCAAAAGTATTATTTCCTAAAGACTATTGCATAAAGAAGCAAAGGTAAGAAAAATCTGTGGAATGTTGGCTAGAATTTATGTCTGGCTGCAGCTGCATGCCTACAAAGTGGAAGAGAATCAGCAATTTCATAAGAATTGAGATGCTCCAATTCGGTCACTGAATGAAGATCAATATCCATTTAAAATGTGAACATAATATACTACTCAAACAACTTAGTAGTAATGGAGACTACTATCACGTTTAAATTTATTGACAAATCCATGTGCTCTAACTTTGAAATGTTAAATAGTCTGGCTCAGTATGACAGTCATTTTAAAATGAGAAATTAAGATCATTCTTCAAGCTCTTATGGCATATTTAGCAAGAAGAATTGCCTCCTTAAAGAAAAAATGTTCCTACCAAGTTCCTCTGTTCTTAGCAATACTGATGGAGGCAGTTCTGAGAAACTCATCCCCAAAACAGCAAGCTGATATTTGAAGCTTTAAAAAATATATATTAGAATCCCATTTGAAAGATAGAATCCAATCTTTGAAGCCATTCTTATATCTGATTTCAAAGTCACCACCCTGGTCTTTTTTTCTTTTCTTTTGATTTGGGATGAATAAAGAGAGAGAAAAAACTGCTGACTATGTATATGCTACAGCAGCTATGAAATCAGAGTAAGAAAACAAAAGAAAAATAAATAAGCTTATCGAGGCTCATAGAGGTCAGAAATGTCCAAATCTAAGCATGTCAAATAGTGCACTAAAGGATTCTTCTAGTTTGAGAGGAGTCATAAGGTTTCAATTGAACTAAACTCTGGAACTGCACTGGAAAAACTGAACATAATTTAAAATCAAAGTGGGTTTAAAACTTTTTATTTCTAAGCAGTTTCACTTCAAAGCACCCAAGGCAGTGACAAATACATACTCTGAATGGCTACAGCAAGAAATAAGCTTATCATGCCAGTAATTTAAATGTTTCTATTTCTATGATAACTGTTCCTGTGACAGCTTTATCCATGACTAGAAAGAAAAAGGACAACCATATTAGAAGAAACTTTTATAGTAATTCAAAGAACGTCAGTAGAGAGCAGGGCCCCTAAGACATGAAGTGCAAGTGGAAAGACCAGTACATTGCAGCCACAGAAGCAGTGAATTCACTGTTACCTTTCATTATTAAATGTTGTGTCAAAGTCGCCCACATCGAGCCATGATACAGTAACAGAAACCGGATTTTACTATTCTGACCTTCAAAAAATGTTTTAAACAGGCAAAATACATGAAACCACAGTTTCAATATATTGGACAACTGGCAGCCCAGTGAATAACAGAAGGAAACAAATGAGTAAGTGGTACAACTGCCCAGCTTACAGTAGTCTCCCATCCTCCATGGGGGATGCATTCCAAGACCGTCGCAGTGGATGCATCAAACCCTATATATACTATGTTTTTTTCCTAAATATACATACCTATGATAAAGTTTAATTTCCAAATTAGACATAGTAAGAGATTAACAACAATAACTATAATAAAATAGGGCAATTATAATATACTGTAATTAATGTCATATGTGGTCTTTTTCTCTCCTGTGATTTTCGTATTTTCAAATTCTATTCCTGAATCTAGACTTATTAAATTTTCTAGAATCCCCCATCAATGTTAAATAGAAATGGTAAAAGTTGACATCCTTGCTATGTCCCAGTCTTAGGAGGAATGCATTCAATCTTTTGTCAGTATGGTATTAGTTATAGGTTTTTCTTAGATGCCCTTTATCAGGTTATGGAAATTTCCATCTATTCCTAGTTTTCTGAGAATCTTTATGAATGAATGTTTGATTCTGGACTTGGAAGAATTCAAGTTATATGGTCCATAACCTGGGTCCCTACCGAAAAGCCTGCCAGGCAGCTGCGTGGCAGGCAGAAAGGGCAACTTCCAGACTGGAACATCTGTGCAAGCCCTCGATCAGGTTTCTCTAAGATGAAACCAATGATTGTGCTACATGTGAATGTTCTGAAAGGTTCAGACAACCAGCAGAGAGTCTGCAGCTGAATCAGCGATGAGCACATAAATAACTAACAGCAGCTACAACAAAAAATCCAAGACTGTATGAACTCCAAGAAAACAAAAAGCTGTGTGGAAAAGAACTTATTATAATTTCATGGTTTAGCTATGAGCAGCATTTATATGGTTATAATACAAATACTAAATTTTGAATCTAACCAAATTCATGGTATAACCATGTAAGACTAAGGTGTGAAAAGATATACATTATAGTGGGGGGCAAGAGGGCGGGGTTGGAGGGGAGAGGGCAGAGAGAGGAGGGAAAGATAAATCCTCATCTTCCACATGAAATAAACAGGTAATTCCAAACACTGATAAATCAAGAAGTACAAGGCAAGCATGCTTTGTACTCTACAGACAGGAATGTGCCTTCTAGAAGAATTAGCCAGAAGAGCTGACTAGCTGCTTCTGGGTTGGGGGAAATGCATGGATGGAGACAAGCGTATTGCTCTTTGTACAACCTCGCAGAACTACTTGATTCTATTGTCACTGATTTCTTTATTGAAATTAAATTCACAAACCACACAATCACCCTTTTAAAGTGTACGATTCAGTGATGTTTAGAACATTCATGAAGTTGTGCAACCATCACAATATAATTCCAGAACATTTTTTTATCACCTCAAAAAGAAATCCCGTCCATACCTATCAGTAGTCACTCCACAATTCCCGCTACCCCTGGCCTCTAAAACCACTAATATACTATCTTTATAGACCTGTCCATTCTGTACTTCTCATATAAATGGAATCACATAATAGCCACATATAAAATTTGATTTAAAATATTTATTATTAATAAAAGACATTTACTTAAAAAATAAAAACTGGCCTAGTCGGTGTGGCTCAGTGATTGAGCATCAACCCATGAACCAAGTGGTCACAAGTTCAATTCCTGGTCAGGGCATATGCCCAGGTTGCGAGCTTGATCCCTAATAGGGGCCATACAGGAGGCAGCCGATCAATGATTCTCTCTCATCATTGATGTTTCTATCTCTCTCTCCCTCTTCCTTCCTCTCTGAAATCAATAAAAATATATTTTTAAAAAACACAGAGATAACATGATGATGAATTACAACTGACATAGCCAGGGATTGAACCTGCAACCCAGGTACATGCCCCCCATTTTATTTTCCTTTGGGTAATATGTTTTATTTAACCCGGTATATCCAAAATATTATTTCAACATATAATCAATATAAACATTATTAATGCGATTACTTATATTTTGTTAATTGTTAGTCCAGTCTACAACATCCAGAGCAGCCACACTGCAAATGGCCAGTGGCTTCTGGCCACTGAACTGGATGGTGCAGGTCGAGGCCTCATTTCACTTTTGTGTAAACACCAAGCCTCTTTGGAATTTTATGTACTTGAATTTTCCAGGAACGCTGCTACTGTGCAAACAGAGGATTGAGGTTTGACTGTACTTTGTTTTTTCCAGGTACATGCCCTTGACCGGGAATCGAACCCACGATCCTTCAGCACTGAGCCAAGCCAGCCAGTGCCCAATCTGTACTTCTTAATCCCTTCATCTTTTTCACCCAATGGCCCAACTCCCCTCCCCTCTGGCAACCATCAGTCAGACACAAGGTTTTTTAACAGCTTGGTAGCAAGAACATGAAACCATGAAGAGTTAAGCATCACTCAGCACTCTTTCCTTATTTATACTTACTACACATACCCCAGGGGGAAAAGAAATTCATTCTGCCACAGGCTCAGCATGATTCAAAAATTGCAGGCTAACATTTTGAAATGTCATTTTTATTGATCTCCATGTGATGTTCCATTTGCCTTTCCTGGAGTAGACAAATAATGTTTATGGCATTTCCCTAATAGCAGACCTTGAAAATCTGAGTTTAAATGAGCTTTGAAAAAAACATAACCAAATAAAATATCAACTAAATAAAACGATCTGAATGCACATAAATTAATACTGATTCTAGCATTAAAATATATCTTCCCTGAGACTTCATAGGTCACAATAAAGGTGCCAACGTACTACATAATAGAACAGCACATTTCAACACGTAAGAGGCAGCTAAAACCTATAAGGAAAGTCAAATCTCAGGCACAAAATGTAAATCTGTCACCTGAGCACATGAAATACAAAGGACGGCTCAGAGTGAGATTAGGAAAAAGAATATCAAGTCCTATTCTGTAGAGCCTAGGAGTCTGTGTAGCACCTCCAGTTCCGTAATCAAAATCAAGTAACAAGGTCAATTTATCTTGCTAGCTACCATCACTGCTTGCTAGCAATTCCAAAAATAAATCAGTCAATGGAAAGCTACTGTTACTCTACAATAACAGATAAAAAGTTTGCTTTACAGAATAGGTATAATGTTTAAATGCATTTTACTACTTTCAAATACAGTCGTTACTTAATCAGATAACATAAATGAGTTGCATAAAGTTAAATTAGAAAGCAATTACAATCTCAAGTAACAAAGCAAGGAAACAAGAATACCTAGATTTTCTTATAGTTTAATTGAATCACCAATGTCCTTATGGGATAACATGAGCAACATGCTTATCAGATAAAAGTAAGTGATAAGGCAGAATATAAAACTATGTATACATTATGACTACAACCTTGTAAAACAAACCTTGGCAGAGGAAAAAAGGCCTGGAGGAAATGTAACCAATCGACCAAGGTGATGGGTACAGAGGGAGAAACCATGGGTGATGTTTTCCTACTTTCTGCATCTTATTCTATTTTATCTCATTATGATATATCTCTAACTCCTCATGTTTTATTCCTCATATCTCCTTAAATTAAAACACTACACATCACATATTAATTACTATCTGCTTTTATATTTAAAAACACAGCCGTTCTAGCCCAGCCAGTGTAACTCAACGGTTGAGTATCAACCCAGGAACCAGGAGGTTGCCGGTTTGATTCCAGGTCAGGGCACTTGCCCAGGCTGTGCGCTCGATTCCCGGTGTGGGTGAGTGCAGGAGGTAGTGGATCGATGATGTTCCTCTCATCGATGTTTCTATCTCTCTCTTTTCCTCTCTATCTAAAAACCAATGAAGAAACATATTCAAAAAATAATAAAATAAAATAAAAATACAGCCATTCTAGTAGTATGAACTTGAAGTTACTAACTTCTCTAAACCTCAATTTCTCATCTAAGTAAACTAACTAAGTAAACTAACTCAGCAGGATTAAAAAATATCTCATGTAAAACACCTAGCTTAGTGCCTAGCTCACAGTAGTGCTCAATTTATATCACTTCCCTTCTCAACATTTTTTGTTATTGATTGAATTCTTATAAATTAAGTAGACATCACTGATTAAGTACTTTGGTTAAGAGGCAATCCATTTATCTTTAAAAAAGCCTCCTCCATCAAAGGACTTTGAAATCTACTTAGAAGCTTAGGAAGACATTTTTAATAGATCCCAGTAATCCTTTCCATTTAGCCTGGATAAGACCTCAGAAGCCTTCAAAACAGCAGCCCAGATAACCTGAAGGAGTAGCCATTAGAGTGAAAACCTACTTGTCATCAGCAGCTCGGAACAGGGAATTCTTAGGAGCTTCTCCCAGCACAGAGAGCACATAGGAGAGGGAGAAACTCTTTTCTTGGGTTTGCCAAAGAATTAAATCTATGGCTCAATTCCAGTTCACCCAATAAAACATTTTAACAGTGGAGATATTTAAAAACAGGTGTTTACAGCTTTAAAAAAAAAAATGATTCGTTTAGTATTTCAAAACAGAAACATTACAGGAAATCTTCATGGTTTTGTATTTAGCAATGAATTCTTAGCTTTGCTACCAAAAACACAAGCAACAAAAGAAAAATTTGATGAGTTGGACTTTGTCAAAGTTAAAAACTCTTGTGTATCAAAGGACATCATCAAGAAAGTAAAAAGACAGTCTAAAGAATGGAAAAAAATATTCACATATCACCTAATAAGAGTGAATGTATAAGCATATAAAGAACTCCTGTGACTCAACAACCAGAAGAAACCCATTTTAAAAATTGACAAAAGAATTGAATAGACATTTTTTCTAAGGAAGATAAGCAAATAGCCCCCAAAAAACATATGAAAAGATGACCCACATTAGGAGTATAGGAAAACAAAAAATTAACACCAAAATGACACACCACTTCACATTTGCTGGAATGGCTATAATAAAAGACAAAACAAAACAGAAAATAAGTGCTGACAAGGACGTGGAGAAATTGGAACCTTCACATATTGTTGGTGGGAGTGTCAAATGGAAAACAGTTTGGCAGTTCCTCCAAAAACTAAACATAGTATAACCTTACAATCCAGTAGTTCCACTCCTAAGTATATATGCCAAAGACCTGAAAACAGGGATTCAAACAGATATTTATACACGACTGTGCACCAAAGCACTATTTAAAATAGCCAAAATGTGGAAACACCCAAGTGTCCATTGATAGGTGAATAAATAAAGTGTGGTATATACATACAATAGAATACTATATATATAAAAGGCTAATATGCTGTGTCTGTCCGATAAGTCACTATGACTTGAACTGACCACCAGGGGGCAGATGCTCAATGCAGGAGCTGCCCTGATGTGCACTAGCCATTTAGAGAAACAGCACCACAGACCTGGCGCCCACAAAGCAACACGCGGCTTCTCCCAAGTGGGACACAGGCCCTGCCGCAACCCCAGAGACAGCCCACAAAATCACAGCCGATGCTGCCAAGACCCCATGGTACAAAATGCAGCCCACAGCCCAGCCCAGCCCAGAAACGGTCACTGTGGGCGCTGGGTAATGATGTCACATAGCAACGCCTGGCTTCCTCTCCCTAGAGACTAGCCTCCTTACAGTTTCTTCAGCCCAGGAACACAGCTTGCTTTATAGCCAGGTGCAAACATTTTACACTTTAACCAAATGTCTGTGAAGCATTTTCCCGTGCCTCATCTCATTTGATCCTCACAGAAGTCCTGGAGTAGGTAGATAGGAAACTTGGTAGAATCCTATTTTCTTTTAGTTAGCTGGAAAATGGAGATTTAGAAAGCTTAGAGAAGATTTAGCAAGCTTGGAAACTTGACCCAACTGAAAAGAAGAAATGGTGGACCTTGAAAATGCCTTCAGGTTTTCTCACTGTGCAGAATATAGTCAAACACCACTGCAGTTAAATATTTTTTGTTCTCCCTGCATGATCTACAATAATAATCTGCTTCGTGTTAATATTTCCTGCTGTGTTGCTAACAATTAACTGAAAGAGAAGTTGGGGTGCTTCACTGGGCTGGAAAAAGTTTAGCTAAACCAGAAAGTAGTTCTAATTAAGCAAGTTTATGCTACATATATATAAAAGGCTAAGTTGACTCACACATGCACGATACATATAAAGCTCTCCCTGGTGCCAATCGCACGCATGTGTTTCAATCTGTCATTGTCGATCATGCATTTGGTTGACACTTCTATTATAGAGAAAGGACGAATAGTGATATTAAAATATTTATTCTAATTAATTTCCTTTCAATGTGCACGAATTTGTGCACCAGGCCACTAGTTCAGCTATAAAAAGGATGAAATTCTAACACATGCTACAACATGAATAAGCCTTGACAATATTATGCTAGGTGAAATAAGCCAGACATAAAGGACAAATACTGATGATATCATTCATTTGAGGAACCTAGAATAGTCAAATTCATGGAGACAAATAGATTAGAGGTGACCAGAGATTGGAGGCAGGTAGAATGGAGTTACTGCTTAATGGTGACAAAGTTTCTATTTGGGGTGATGAAAAGGTTTTGGAAATAGTGGTGATGGTTGCACAACATTGTGAATGTACGTAAAGCTACTGAATTGGCAAATTTTATGTTACATATATATATTTACCACAATAGAAGTAATTAATTAAACTTAAAGGCACAGGTAAAAAACAAACAAACAGGACAATAAAACGACAGCACATCAGTACCTTTGCATACACTGCATTCGGGAGAGAGGAGGCTGGCATCTTCGGTTATGAGCTTCTCGGGCAGCAAGTCTAGCACCTGACAACTGAGAGTACAAAATCCACTTAATGTGCCATCAAACTTGCTACCATGCTGGAGAAAGTGGGATCACATCCTGACATCAAGAAGCCAGAAATTCAAGGAGCTCAAAGTTGTAAACAAGCATTCATTTTAGGGGGGGAGGGAGGGGGCACCACAGCACACCAAAACATTAAACTGGAAAAATTCTAGAGTAGTGTGAAGCAGTAGAGCACAGTGATTAACGCTCATGTGGTGATCTTAGCAGGTCTACAGAAGAGTAATGTACAAGACTGTTTTCTAAGAAATCTACCAAAGCTGAAAATATTCTACTCAACACTTTCAGAAACTTTAATTGGAGCTGAGTCCAAGAAGACACCCAGCTCATAACTATTTCTCCAAGTGCCTTCATCTGTCATCCAGTAGATGTATAAAGGATGTTCAGTGCAAATGTTGAAAAGGGGTGTTTTTCTAAAACACTGTTTGGAATGATCGTGACCTAAACTCTTTAGGGGAGAAATCTATATTTGCAAACCCAATACCAACACCTCAGAAGGTCTTAATGGGAACTAATTCTTTGAGACAGTCGTTTCAGACATCAGTGAGCCAAGTAAGTTCAGAGTATGAACCTGTCTTAAAAACCACATGGTATCTTCAACTCTTTAAGGATTTACCTCATTCATTCTCAAAGATGTCACATACATCAAAAATTAAAAATATAGACATCCACAAAGTTAATGTACCTTTTCATCTTCCCATTGAAAAAAATTACAATCTTTTCTATCTCGACAGGCCGAGCAGGCATAAAACCTCCGCGTGTCTTCCTTCCCTTGGCTCACCTTTACAAACAACAGCGTGGGACCTAGTTCCAGAACAGGAAAAAAAACAAAAACATGTCAAACAACAGTCACGTGCGTCAAGTTCCCGGTTGTCACCGCCCTTCACTACACTTGTTTTCATTTTATGCACGGATTTATCATCATTAAATCCACTACTTTAACAGTTTACTTAGGAAATCGTTTTTGAAAACCAGTCTCTCCAGGAATAAAATGCCACTGTCAGCAGAGCTGCTGTCCTCGTGGCGTATGGCCTGGGCCCTGACACTAGAGCCGTGGTTCTCATCCTTGGCTGCACATTAGAATCACCTGGGAATCTTTTTAAAATCCTGATTTCTGGGCCTCATCCTCCGGAAATCCTGTTTCTTTGTTATGGGGTGGGGCCACAACATTAGTAACAAAGAAACAGAATTTCCGGAGGATGAGGCCCAGAAATCAGGATTTTAAAAAGATTCCCAAGTGATTCTAATGTGCAGCCAAGGTTGAGAACCACTGGTCTAGAGCAAGGAGGGCGTCCAGGGAACCGAGCACGTGGCCTCCCGCCCCTCAGGGACCTTTTCCGGGGAAATCTGGGCTTTGAGAGCCAGACACACCCACTCTTCGCAAGAATTCACTCTATCGTTCTCTCTAACCAAAATTTTTTTTTTTTTTTTTACTGAAAAAGTAGTAAATCAACAAATGAACCCCCCCAAGTACTTGGTGATGGGAATTACTCGACAGCACGCATCCCCTTTGCCTCTCCTCTGCCTATTTCCTTAAAATAGAGAGATAACAGCCGTGGAGCCAAAACCACAACAGTGGGACTTGTTATAACGGCCTCTTAAGTAAGTTGAAAACCACCACTTCCCGAGGAAGGCATCACACACGCGCGGGAGAAAGGTGGATGGAAACCCGGGGGAAGTTCAGGCTAAGGCTCGCCCCAGGCGCCCGGCAGCCAGGCTGAGCCCAAACGCGGACCCACCGTGAGAAACGAGCTGCCCGGGCTGCCCGCCCTCCCCTCCGCCTCCCCGGCTCCCAGCCTGTCCCGGAGGGTCGCCATCTTCCCGCCGCCGTCCCGAGAGCCTCCGTCCAACCAATAGGGAGGCGGAGAAAGAGCGTCGCCACGACCCGCAGAGACTCACAGCGCCCCCGCGCGCCTGGGAGGAGCTGCGGCCGCGAGGCGAGCCCACTCCATCAAACGCTGTCGCCGCCCCTAAGCAGTCCTGGGCAATGAAAGGTATGACTGGTAGGCAACTTGTTGGACCTGTGCAGTAAGTTCCTCTGTTTTCTGCCGAACTTCTTAGCACCTGCAAGTACCCTCCTTTCATTCAGAAAACAGGCAGGAAATGAAATGACTCTTCAGAGCAAAGGTTTGGTCGGGTTTAAGTCCCAAAGGCAGCATCACGACCAACAGCAGTTGGCAATAGAAATAGCTAAAGTCTCTGCCCTTTGTGAAACCACCCTCTTTTCAAAGTTGGAGGCGCAGTGTCATCTTCTACCTGTTGGACAATGTTTATAGTTGCACGTTATAGTTGCATATCCATTGACATGTATACACTGAGTGGCCAGATTATTATAACCACCCCATGAGTACAATGAAGTGAATTAGTTATGCAAATAATAAGAATAATAAAACCTTGAGAGTATTTGCTTAGGAAGTTTTCAATATTCAGTATTTTTGGAAGTGTCAATGAAGTACAGTGGGGCCTTGACTTACGAGTGTCCCGACTAACGAGTTTTTTGAGATACCAGCTGTCTCTCCACCGATTATTTGCATTGAGTTGATAGAGTAATTTGAGTTAACAAGCTCCTTAACGAGCTCGGTCTCGGAACGAATTAAACTCGTAAATCAAGGCCCCACTGTACTGATGGGAGTGGTCATAATAATCTGGCCACTCAGTGTATATTGTAAAGAAATAAAACGGTCCCTATTTGCATCTGATGTGATGGTCTACATACCATTCCAAGGAACCTACAAAAATGACTCTAGTTTAAACTGAGTTCAACAAGGTTGCAGCATGCCAGATAAACATACAAAAATCTATTGTACTTCTATATACTAACAAAGATCACCAGAACACCAAAATTTAAAACAGAATACCACTTACAACCACTCAAATAAATGAAATAGGTTTTACATATATCTAACAAAACGTGTACACGGGACTTGTATGCTGAAAACTACAAAATGCTGATAAAAAAATCAAAGAAGATCTAAATAAATGTAGAGACATACTCTGTTCCTAGATTAAAAGACTCAATATAGTAAAGGTGTCAGTTCTCCCCAAGTTTAGGGGAGATACAGGTTTAGTTTCACTTCTATCAAAATCTCAGTCAGACTTTTGTAACTATAGACCATCTTATTCTGAAATTTATATGAAAAGGCAAGGGACCTAGAGTAGCTAAAACAATTTTGAATAATAATAATAAAGTGGGAAAAATCAATTTATCCAAATTCAAGACTTCTACAGCTGCAGTAAGCACACATGTATGGTTGCAGAGGAAATAAATAAATCTCCTTATAGTAAATAATTGGTTGTACTTTACATATTTAAACTCACACATTTACAACTATGGTGTATTAATTTAGAAATATTGCTCTTTTCCAAGCACATCTCATGCAACTTCTTCACTCAAATCCTTCACCTGCACCTGTAGCACCTGGTTTGGGCATGACAATTCCCCTTTTTTGTCTAGCACAAGTTATTGGCTTGTCTACATCTTTAGGATAGGGAACTTTCTGGATCCTTTTGTCTAAGGATACTTTTGAAAATTTGATCTCAAGACCTAACTACCCTTGATCATTAACATTAATACTTCTATTTAAAAATGTTAACCAATAAGTACTGATTTGTAATCTTTAAAAAACTTGTTTAACAAAGCTCGCAATTGAATTCATAAAATCATGCCACCAAAAAATAGTTACTGAATCTAAATTTTCTTATTCTCCTTTTTGTTTGTTTTTATTTATTTTATTTTTTCATCACCATTTATCCCCTCTATGCCCTCTTCCACCTCCACCCAGCTCCCTTCCCCTGCAATGTCTTATTCTCTCTTAAATAATTCTGAGTCTGAGATGAACTCTATAAGCAGCCCAAACCAATATGGATTTGCAGACTTTACAGCAGTGGTTCTCAACCTTCCTAATGCCGCGATCCTTTAATACAGTTCCTCATGGTGTGGTGACCTCCAACCATAAAATTATTTTTTTTACTACTTCATAACTGTAATTTTACTACTGTTATGAATCCTAATGTAAATATCTGATATGCAGGATGTATTTTCATTGTTACAAATTGAACATAATTAAAGCTTAGTGATTAATCACAAAAACAATATGTAATTATATATGTGTTTTCCGATGGTCTTAGGCGACCCCTGTGAAAGGGTCATTCGACCCCCAAAGGGTCGCGACCCACAGGTTGAGAACCGCTGCTTTACCGTAAAACAAGGGTTTTCCAAATAAAGCAAACGAAAGAGCATCTCTCAGTGTGAGAGACTTGGAAGATTTCAAAAAGAAGGCAGTTCTCTCCTTTCTGAGGGATAATTTGAAGACAAATGAATCTCACCTTATTCAGACATGTGTATGTAGTGTTGTATGTTGAATGTTTACTGAAGAGTCTTGAATACTAGTAATACATTATAAAGAAAGTTTCTGCAGGAAAATCCTTGAGCAGAGAAAAGCTGAGACATAGCAGGATTCTCAAAGGAAACCAGGGGCAGAGCTGAGAATGGGCCCCTTGAGGCCTGAGCACTGAGACCCATTACACTCGCCCTTAATGATCCTGAATACCCCTAAGACAGACTCAAATTCAGCCACTACCTGACCAGAGGATGTGGGCAGACAGGTGAGCTTCCCATAGGGACCAGATGTCTCACTTCTTGACTTTGTTAATAGGATAAAAGCCCTCCAACCCTCAAATCTCCTGCAGAGAACGTGGTTGAAGCCAGAGGAACATTTTGTAGTGGATGCCTGACCGACTTTATCTTTTGTTTCAGAACTCAGGTTACCTTTGGGAAACCAACCCTTGCCAAGTTTAGACCATGTAAATTGCGAGATACAAAGAACCATAGTGACTGGTTTGGGTTTGGGTTTGGGTAGGTGACTCGGGGAATGGCTGGAATGGCTGAAAAAGAAGCTGTAATAATCATATTCTGTCATCTCTGTGGCATTCATAATATTGATTTATCATGGGCCTGAGGGGGTCAGCTTTCAGTCTTTTCTGGGTTAGGTCATGCATCTAGTGGGGGGCTGGTCCAGGTTCACCTTGGCTGGGATAACTCAGCTCTGCTCCTTGTGTCTCTCTTCTTCCTTGAAATGGACTGAATGTTTGTGTCACCCTCAGATTCATATGTTGAAATCCCTACTCCCCAAAAATGAGAGTATTAGTAAGTAGAATCTTTGAGAGGTGATTAGAGCCTCCATAAATAGGTTTAGTGTCCTTAAAAGAGGCTCCAGAAAGCTCCCTACTCCGTTCTACGATGTGAGGATACACAGAGAATATGTCACCCAGTGAGAGCCCTCATCCAACCTTGCTGGCACCCTGATCTTGCACTTCCAGCCTCCAGAACCGTGAGCAATATTTTTCTCTTGTATTTCAGCTCCCCAGTCTGTGATATTTTGTTATAGCAGCCCTAATGAAGTAAAATACTCCTCCTAGAACCAGGGGTCCGCCTGGGCACGTCTTTCTCATAGAGGCGGTAGAAGCACAAGAGAGCTTCAGGCAAACTTCTGGAGGCCTAGGCTTGGAGCTGCCACTGTCGCTTCTACCTCATTCTTTTGGCTTGAGCAAGTCTCATAGCCACACACTACAGTTACATGGCAAAGGGGATAGGTCAGAAGGGGGTGAAGAATTGGGGCCAATGACGCAATCTATCACAGAAGCATTCTTCACTGGGATAGCCAAGTGGCTGGTGGCAGTGTTTCCAGAAACTTCAGGAGCCCCTGCCTTACCAAGGAATCAATAAGAAAAAGGCAGAACTAGGAGACAGGAATGTGTGATGGTACCATGGGAGTACCTAGATCCGGCCATGCCTCCTGTTTTCAGTTATGAGTCATGGAT